ATGCAAAACGTTATGTTTGGCGTAAAAGCAACACAGCTCATCACCCTGAACACACCATCCCCACTGTCAAACATGGTGGTGGCAGCATCCTGGTTTGGGCCTGCTTTTCTTCAGCAGGGACAGGGAAGATGGTTAAAATTGATGGGAAGATGGATGGAGCCAAATACAGGACCATTCTGGAAGGAAACCTGATGGAGTCTGCAAAAGACCTGAGACTGGGATGGAGATTTGTCTTCCAACAAGACAATGATCCAAAACATAAAGCAAAATCTACAATGGAATGGTTCACAAATAAACATATCCAGGTGTTAGAATGGCCAAGTCAAAGTCCAGACCTGAATCCAATCGAGAATCTGTGGAAAGAACTGAAAACTGCTGTTCACAAATGCTCTCCATCCAACCTCACTGAGCTCGAGCTGTTTTGCAAGGAGGCATGGGCAAAAATTTCAGTCTCTCGATGTGCAAAACTGATAGAGACATACCCCAAGTGACTTACAGCTGTAATCGCAGCAAAAGGTGGCGCTACCAAGTATTAACTTAAGGGGGCTGAATAATTTTGCACGCCCAATTTTTCAGTTTTTTTATTTGTTAAAAAAGTTTGAAATATCCAATAAATTTCGTTCCACTTCATGATTGTGTCCCACTTGTTGTTGATTCTTCACAAAAAATTACAGTTTTATATCTTTATGTTTGAAGCCTGAAATGTGGCAAAAGGTCGCAAAGTTCAAGGGGGCCGAATACTTTCGCAAGGCACTGTATGTAACTCTTATGTTCCTCCCTCTTCTGGAAATAGGTGTTAACTACAGCCATTTCCATCCTCTTAGCAAAGTCCACCACCATCTGTCCTTCTAGGTTCCTTCCCTTAACACCACACGTGCCCATCACCTTTGCTCCCCTCACCAACGTGCCCATTGAAGTCTGCCCCAATCACTACTCTCTCCCCTCTGGGAATACTCTCTATCACCTCATCTAACTCACTCCAGAATTTCTCCTTCTCTTCTAACTCACACCCTACTTGTGAAGCATAACCACTGACTACATTCAGCATTACCCCTTCAATTTCCAACTTCAAACTGATCACCCTGTCTGACACTCTTTTCACCTTTAAAACATTCCTCACGAGCTCCTCCTTCAGGATCACTCCTACCCCATTTCTCATCCTGTCCACACCATAATAAAACAGTTTGTATCCCCATTCAATGCTATGCGCTTTGCTACCCTTCCACCTGGTCTCCTGCACACACAGTATATCTCCCTTCCTACCCCCTATCATGTCCGCCAGCTCTCTACCTTTCCCTGTCATTGTCCCAACATTAAGAGTCCCTATTCTCAGACCTATACTCCTGCCTTTCCTCTTCTCTCTCTGTCTACGAGTCCTTCTGCCTTCTCTCCTTCTTTGACCAACAGTAGTCCAATTTCCCCCAGCACCCTGTAGGTCAACAGCACTGGTGGTGGTCATTGCTAACCCGGGCCTTGACCGATCCGGTATGGAATTCGCACTGATGATTCGCATGTTTAAATTTAGCATGTTTTTACGCTGGATGATGCCCTTCCTGACGCAACCCTCTCTATTTATCCGGGCTTGGGACCGGCACAGAAGTCACTGGCTTGTAACCCCTGTGGCTAGATTATGGTACTGAAGTAAACAATGATGGAATTATTTTCTTAAATTTGGCAACAGCATTGTCAGCTGTCTACTGTAGTACTTATTAAACTTACCCACTCTGATTATTTTCTCTGTACTAAGAAATAAATCAGACAAAGTCTAAGAATTCAGTTTGTGTCCTTCGAGCGATATGACGGTTGCTATGAATAGGAGTGGTGGATTCATTTAGACTGATGTATTCCTCCTGCTGTAACCAGGTTTCAGTAAGTCACCGTAAATTAATGTGATGTTCACTTATCAAATCATTCAGAGATTTAGATGAGAGAGATCTGATATATATAATAGTCCATATTTGATTGTCCTTTTACAGCGCATCCAGAAAGTATTCACAACGCTCAACTATTGCCACATGTTGTTATGTTACAGCCTTATTCCAAAATGGATTAAATTCATTATTGTCCTCAAAATTCTACAAACAATACCCCATAATGACAATGTGAAAAAAGTTTGTTTGAAATCTTTGCAAAATTTAAAAATAAAAAACAAAAAATCACGTGTATTCACAGCCTTTGCCATGACACACAAAATTGTTCTGTGGTGCCTCCTGTTTCAACTGATCATCCTTGAGATGTTTCTACAACTCTAATGGAGTCCACCTGTGGGGAATTCTGCTGATTGGCCATGTTTTGGAAAGGCATACACCTGTCTATATAAGGTCCCACATTTAACAGTGCATGTCAGAGCACAAACCAACAAGTCCGTGGAATTGTCTGTAGGTCTCTGAGACAGGATTGTATCAAGGCACAGATCTGGGGAAGGGTACAGAAAAATTTCTGCAGCATTGAAGGTCCCAATAGGCACAGTGGCCTTCATCATCTGTCAATGGAATATGTTTGGAACTACCAGGACTCTTCCTAGAGCGGGCCGCTCAGCCAAACTGAGCAATTGAGAAAGAAGGGTCGCTCTGAAAGAGGTCCAGCGTTTCTCTGTGGAGAGAGGAGAACCTTCCAGAAGAACAACCATCTCTGCAGCACTCCACCAATCAGGCCTGTATGGTAGAGTGGCCAGAGGGAAACCAGTCCTTAGTAAAAGGCACATGGCAGCCCACCTGGAGTTTGCCAAAAGGCACCTGAAGGACTCTCAGACCATGAGAAACAAAGCTCTCTGGTCTGATGATTCAAAAGATTGAACTCATGTCTGGAGCAAACCAGGCACTGCTCACCACCTGGCCAACACCATCCCTACAGTGAAGCATAGTGGTGGCAGCATCATGCTGTGGGGATGTTTTCTCTGACTGGGAGACTAGTCAGGATAAAGGGAATGATGGATGCAGAAAATATAGAACAATTCTGAATGAAAACCTTTTCCTGAATGTTCAGGATCTCAGGCTTGGGTGAAATTTTGATACCATTGATCACAGCATCTTATTACAGAGACTTGAACATGATATTGGGATTAAAGGAGCTGCACTAAGTTGGTTGAAATCTTATTTATTAGAAAGATTCCAGTTTGTTCATGTTAATGATGACTCTCCCGTGCAGACTGAAGTTAGTTATGTTGTTCCACAGGGTTTTGCGCTAGGTCCAATTCTCCACACTTTATACATGATCCCTTTAGGCAATACGCTCAGGAAATGCAGCATAAATTTCCAATGCTATGCAGATGGCACTCAGTTATATTTATTTATGAACCCAGATGTATCTGGTGATAGTCACTTTTGGCCACAGCGAATCGTCACACTGACGACTTGCATGTTGACAATTGGCACGTTTTATGCTGGATGCCCTTCCTGACGCAACCCTGATTCAAACCTGGGCCGCAGCGGCGAGAGCGCTGCGCCTTAACCACTGGTCTACCAGGGACGGCTGCTATGCAGATGATACTCAGTTATATTTATTTATGATCCCAGATGAATCAAATCAGTTGGTCAAACTTCAAGCATGTCTTTAAGACATAAATGCCTGGCTGACTTGTAATTTCTTACTTTCTAAACTCTGACAAAACTTAAGTTATTGTACTTGGGCCTGGAAATCTTAGAAAATGCTGTCTACTTACTGTACTGTTACTCTAGATGACATAGCTCTGGCCTCCAGCACTGCTGTGAGGAATCTTGGAGTAATTTTTGACCACGATATGTCCTTTAAATCACACACAAACCAAGTCTCTAGAACTGTCTTCTTTCACCTGCGCAATATTGCAAAAATCATAAACACCCTGTCTCAAAGTGATGCTGAAAAACTGGTCCAGGCATTTTTTACTTCCAGGCTGGACTACTGTAACTCTGTCTAAATAACTCCCTAAAAAGCCTCCAGTTAATCCAAAATGCTGCAGCCAGAGTACTGACAGGAACTAGCAAAAGAGATAATATTTCTTCTAGTTAGTTAGTTTCTCTCCACTGGCTCCCTGTAAAATCCAGAATAGAATTTAAAATCCTTCTCCTAACATACAAAGCCCTTAATGGCAAGGATCCATCTTAAAGACCTTATAGTGCCTTATCATCCTAACAGAGCACTTTCAGAGTGTAGGTCTACAGAAGGAGAATAGGAGGCAGAGCCTTCATCTATCTTGTCTCATGTGGAACCAGCTCCCAGTCTCAGTTCAGGAGTCAGATACCCTCTCTACCTTTAAGATTAGACTTAAGACTTTCCTTTTGATAAAGCTTATAGTTAGGGCTGGATCAGGTGACCCTGAGTGTTCCCTTAGTTATGCTGCTATGGGCCTGGGCTGGGCTGGTGGGGGCCCCCCATGGCGCTCTGAGTTTTCTTTTCTTTTCTCTCTCCTCTATCCACTCACTCCAGCCAGTCAAGGCAGAAGGCCAGCCACAGCCGGGATCTGTCTGAGGTTTCTTCCGTTGAAGGGAGCTTTTCCTGCCAGCTGTTGCCTAGTGCTTGCTCATTGGGGAGTTGTTGGGTTTTCCTCTATAATAATAATAGACCTTACTTTGTAAAGTGTTCTGAGATGACTTTTGTTGTGATTTGGCGCTATACAAATAAAATTGAAATTACTTTTTGCTGCCAAAGGTGCCTTAACCAGGTACAAAGTCAAGGGTCTTAGTTCTTATGCAAATGGTATATTTTAGTCTTTTGAAATGAATGCATTTTAAGATGAGTCTGAAACAACAAACTGTGAAAAACTGAAAAATTTCCATGCACACTGTACATCAGTAAACAGAGTCCCAAGGTGTTTAAATTAATTAATTGCATTCACCTGTATTTAATATTACTTTTTTTGCTCTGTCTTAGGACAATTTTGTGGACAACAGAATTGCCAGATTTTGTCAGATCTGACAAAGCAGTTGGTGTAATGATCACTGTGTGCATAAGTATTTACTAACACACACACACACACACAAACCCCTGTGGATTTTATCACTTGTGTCATCTTATGTCCTCAGCTGGTCCTAAGGAAGTGGAGTGAGCTGATTCCTGGTGGAGAGTTTCGCTGCTTCGTCAAAGAAAACAAACTGATTGGTAATAGCTCTCCGCTCACACTCAGTCATAAGTCGTCACTATTAGTAATTGTTGTTAACCAAAGACACTATTACATCTCTGCTACATTTTGTATCGCGGCATTTGATTTGGATGGACGATGAGGGAAATCTGGGTTGCTTTATACAAAACAGTAACAAGGCACTGTTCTTACCTAGCAAATGATAACCTCTATTTGTCTGAAATGAGAATTACTACTTTGAAAAAATAACTTTTAGCAGTGATATAATTATATTTAAATAGTATAGTTATGCATTACTCTAACATATGAACAATTCTAAAATTCAGGTTGAGCTCCTCTGATGGTGTATCTGTCTGATCTCTCAGCTATCTCCCAGAGAGACTACACTCAGTTTTACCAACACATTTTGATGCAGGATGGCCAGATCTGTCAGGCCATACAGGATTTCTTCAGCCAGCACATCCAGTACAACTTCCTGGATGAAGACTGTGAGCATCAACATCCTCTGTTTTCACATCTTCTGTCAACAGCTCCCAGACAGAAATGCTGTCTGTTTTAGTATTTAATATATATGTATGTATATGAATATACATATAGGTATATGAAATATTTATGGACAAAAATGGATTGTGTGAAATGCAGGGAAAGAATAATCAAATGTGTAAGGTCATTTTTCACATCATTTTGATTATCAGATTTTAATTTCCGGTAATATAATTTTTTTTAAAGCTTTTACCTTGGGAAATTAGCAGATAGTTATTTAAATGTGATTGCTTATGGAGTTGTTCACACTGTTGTGTCTGTGTTTCAGTTGTCTTTGATATCTACAGAGATAGCCAGGTAATTCACTACAGATTTTTTTTTTAATATGTTGACACTAAAGTAATACCACTTTCCAAGTTTCATTAACAAATGATGTGTGTTTGTTTGTGTTTTGCAGGGGAGGGTGTGGCTGATCGACTTGAACCCGTTTGGTGAGGTGACAGACTCGCTGCTATTCAGCTGGGAGGAGCTGACATCTGGTGGAGAAATCACCCAGCACCAGGTCAGCCATCACGTGTTCCATTCAAACTTTATTTTTTATTTGGTCTGTAATGAAGGCTCAAACCATCTCTGTCTGTGTGCAGGAAAGCCCGGCATTCCGCTACACCAAAAGCGAGGTGACAGTCCAGCCCAGTCCCTGTCTGAGCTACAGAATCCCACGGGACTTTGTGGACCTCTCCACCGGAGAAGACGCTTACAAACTGATTGACTTCCTTAAACTGGTAGGACGTTCAAGATTCAAGATTTTTATTTGCCATTTATGCATAAACAGACAGTCTAGGCATATAAGAATTCTTATACAGGGCTCTCCTGGAGTCGAGTAAAGAGTTTAAAGCCAAAAAAATGGACAACTAGTCTAAATATAAAAATACCCAAGAATACATAAGAATATACAACACAAAAAACAAGAATACCCATTAGATTGAGGTTAGCCATGCTTATAGTCAAATTTTCCTCATGAATGCACTTTCCAATCCTGTTTGCTAGTCATTCAGACTAAAAATAAAGGCAAGAATTAAAGGGCACATGTAATACAAACTTAACTTTTAGAGCATTTTTTTGACATTCACATGGGTCTCTGGTGTACGTAGACACACACAAAATACAAGAAAAGACCAGTCTTTGCCTGTTTTTGCTTTTTATGATTTGTAAAAACCCCTGCTAGAACATGCTGTTCAGATTTCTCTTTTTATGACATCATACGAAATGTGGCAGCAGTGCATTTGCACAGATTCTCCATTGAGTCGTATCCATTTTGATGCTCCAGGTCCACCATTATGATTTTCTCACTAGAACAGCAGACTAATAGCAACATGGCACAGCTCAGAGGAAGGCATGGATTCTGCTTAGTTGTTGGTTGCACAGAAGTCCCTATCTACTGAAGTTAGCCTGTTTAACATAGCCACATTAGTCACAATGTAATGCTGTACAGCTAACATGGCTAATAGTAGCTTGTATTACAGTCCAAACGACAGAAACAGGTTAAGTGTTTGGACTGTTAATATTTGATGAACAGTCAGAATGTACCAGAGAATTTGTGTGAAATTTTTTTGCCACATTTCTTGTGAGAAGTTTTTTGGGATCTAGCCACAGGGGTTGCAAGCCAGTGACTTCTGTGCCAGTCTCAAGCCGGGATAAATAGAGATGCTGTGTCAGGAAGGGCACCCAATGTAAAAAGGGCCAAATTTAAACATGCAAATCATCTGTGTGAATTCCATATCAGATTGGTTGAGGCCCGGGTTAACAATGACCGCCACCAGCGCTGTTGACCTACAGGGTGCTGGCGGAAATTGGACTACTGTTGGTCAAAGAAGGAGAGGAGGCAGAAGGGTTTGTAGACAGAGAGAGAAGAGGAAAGGCATGAGTATAGACCTGAGAATACTTGTTGGAATTAAATTTACTGCTTTGGGATTGTATGTGGTCGTGTGGGGGAAAATTCAGTGATCACTGGTTGGATTTACCGACCTTGGAGATACTTGAAAGGGAATGATGTATCCACTACTCAGTGGGACTCAATAAGTTTAAAAAAAAATCTTTTTTTAAAACGTGTTGCATGTCTATTAATGCATTATTTCCATAGAGAATTGTTGTTGTAAGGCTGGAGAAGTTACTGTTTACATTATGCCAGTTAAAATATGGGGTTTCTCAATTACCTGCTTTGTTTAGAATGTTATAAATCTCTTTATTTGTACATATACTGTTGGTTACGGCAGCACGGTGGCGCAGTGGTTAGCACCGTTGCCTCACAGCGAGAAGGTTACGGGTTGGGGCCCCACCCGGGACCTTTCTGTGTGGAGTTTGCATGTTCTCCCCGTGCTTGCGTGGGTTCTCTCCGGGTACTCCGGCTTCCTCCCACAGTCCAAAGACATGTAGCTTAGGTTGATTGGTGTCTCTAAATTGCCCATAGGAGTGCGTGTGCGCGTGTGTGGTTGTGTGTCTATGTGTTGGCCCTGCGATGGATTGGCGGCCTGTCCAGGGTGTACCTCGCCTTCGCCCGATTGCCAGCCTGGATTGGCTTCGCCCCCCCGTGACCCCGTTCAGGGACTAAGCAGTAGACAATGACTGACTGACTGTTGGTTACCTTTCTATGGAGGAGAAGTTCAAATTAATTAATGCCGTTGCAGTTCGTTGTGCTGTCCACTTTGGACACAACAGGAGGTGTGCGCGTTCCTCTCATTTTTTTGGAAGAGGCTATCTGTCCCCAGCTCCACGCTATCTGCCTGCCTTTGTCCCCAGCTCCACGCTATCTGCCTGCCTTTGTCCCCAGCTCCACGCTATCTGCCTGCCTTTGTCCCCAGCTCCACGCTATCTGCCTGCCTTTGTCCCCAGCTCCACGCTATCTGCCTGCCTTTGTCCCCAGCTCCACGCTATCTGCCTGCCTTTGTCCCCAGCTCCACGCTATCTGCCTGCCTTTGTCCCCAGCTCCACGCTATCTGCCTGCCTTTGTCCCCAGCTCCACGCTATCTGCCTGCCTTTGTCCCCAGCTCCACGCTATCTGCCTGCCTTTGTCCCCAGCTCCACGCTATCTGCCTGCCTTTGTCCCCAGCTCCACGCTATCTGCCTGCCTTTGTCCCCAGCTCCACGCTATCTGCCTGCCTTTGTCCCCAGCTCCACGCTATCTGCCTGCCTTTGTCCCCAGCTCCACGCTATCTGCCTGCCTTTGTCCCCAGCTCCACGCTATCTGCCTGCCTTTGTCCCCAGCTCCACGCTATCTGCCTGCCTTTGTCCCCAGCTCCACGCTATCTGCCTGCCTTTGTCCCCAGCTCCACGCTATCTGCCTGCCTTTGTCCCCAGCTCCACGCTATCTGCCTGCCTTTGTCCCCAGCTCCACGCTATCTGCCTGCCTTTGTCCCCAGCTCCACGCTATCTGCCTGCCTTTGTCCCCAGCTCCACGCTCCCTGCCTGCCTGCCTTCTTCCCCAGCTCCACGCTGCCTGCCTGCCTGCCTGCCTGCCTGCCACACTTCACCACTACCTCAGCCCCCTCTCTCCTCCTCCCAGTAACCTGTGCCTTATTTATTAAATAAACTCCTTTTATGTTCCACTCCATATTCATTCATTCATTCAATCATTTTCTACTGTTTAGTCCCTTGCGGGGTCACGGGGGGGGGCTGGAGCCAATCCCGGCCGGCAATCGGGCGAAGGCGGGGTACACCCTGGACAGGTCGCCAATCCATCGCAGGGCCCACTCCATATGTGTCTGCATATTGGCTCCATCCTTTACCTGCGCCCCTGTGACACATTGATTTGGACTTTATTGCTGGGGTTTTTGAATAAAAACAAGTGCAGAATTTAAGCTGATGGTTCTGTTAGGTTTTTCTTGTTGAAAAATATTCTGTTAAGAAAAATACTCTCTTTTTCCTATGATGTCTATACAAGGTAAAAAATCTTTACAATTTCCAGATGATTAGATGCACTATGTGATTTCCCAGGTGGAAACAGTACAGGATCAGACAAAGTCTCCGGAATCCCTTCAATAAATTTGACATTTATTTTGTCAGCCAAAACATGATAAAAAGGCTGGCATTCAGAATGCATCCAAACAGTATTGTTGTTACATAGCAGTGGTTATGGTGAACTTTATGGTAGAAATACAGCTAACTGTGGCTAAAGATGTTAGCAAAGCTAATGCTGAAGACTGGAGCTGTCCAGAAACACGTTTGGATAATTGGTAGGCGGCTCCTGTTCAGTGCTGTGGGAGGTGACCAATCAGAGCAGACTAAGCATTTAGGGAGGGGCCCCAGGAGCTAAAACAGAGCATCTGAAACGGGTGAAAAGAGGGCCTAGAGCGCCAGACACTATGAGAGAACTAATAACCATACCACCATTTAAAGGTTTTCTAGTAGAACCTTTAAATAGTAATATAAACCTGAAAATGAGCATTACACGTGCCCTTTAAGCTAAAACCATTGGGCAGACATCATATGCCTGGCATTTTATAAGGAAGTGCATTAGCACATAGTTTAGAGCTCAAGATTACACACAGTGTATGTTAGTGACTAACATTAAATGTAAACAAACAGAAGCTATGTTTATAAGTCCACAGGACATCTTTAATAGTACACTTTTTCATTTTCTGTAACCATGATTGTTTAATTGCTTATTTCATTTGTTTTAGCCACAATTTTCCCCTAACCTTAAAGCTATAATCCTTAAAAATGTAAATTTCCAAATCAATTTTTTTTATACAAATTATGGCTGCTTTTTACTCTGTTATAGCCATTAAATATATTTAGATTCATCAGTTACTTTTCTCTGTACTAGTTTCAGTTGTCAGGGAGGGACTCTTCCTTTACCATGCTTGATTGAAATGGGATTTATAGGAAATAATACATGCACAGTACATACTGGAGGAAATGTGGAAGACACTGCACATAATTTGTGTGTTGTGCATTAGTCACATAATCACGTAATCCTTAACTCCTGGTCATTTTAAAAGGAAAAGTTGTGTCTGTACAAGTAAAGCTACAAGTTTATACAGTAAAGAAGACACGTTGCTCATCTTCTCTGTTGTATTTGTGACAGAGTACCTTCCTGTAGTAAGTTGCCTGCCCAGTAGTGATAAATGTGTCATTTCAAAGTGAAACATGGCCAGAATTAGAATTAAATACAAAATAGAGATATGGGGAATATCTAAATGTTCACTCATCTGTCTTTTTTCCTTTCCATAGAGGAAAAGCCAACAGGAAGAGTCTGATGAAGAGGACGAGGATGACATGCCACAGAGACACGGTTCCTCAGAAACCTGAGGAATAGCTTTGAATAATGTTTTCTGCATGAAGTGACTTCTGACCTGTTTGAGCATTTTTTTTTTGGTTTGTTTTTAAGCTTGTTTTGTCTCACATTTTCTTGTTAGCAGTACATGTTGTACCTGAGACTTCTTAAATAATTCTCTCTTTACTCTAATGGAACATGTTGGTGGATCCTGTTGATGGCTCTCTGAAGACTGAATTTCTGTTGACTTCTTCTCTGCCTCCAACACTCCTGAGCACTGTCTTGCAGATCGTAATGGCTCAATGAAACCTGGGAGGTAGGCCTCTGCAGTCAGTTGCTTGGTTATTTCTCAGTTTTGGTTAAATCCTAAATTTGATGTGTTGACTAACACTGTACAGAATTCCAGTTTTTATACTTTAAAAAAGGGGTGTATATTCATTTCAGCCCAAATATTGTCTCTGGGTTTACCATGAATTAGTCCACATATCTTTCAAGGTACCTTTGGGTTTGTGTGTTATGAGGCTGTAACATATTGAGCACTGAAGTCATTCATCACAGAGTCACCTTTATCTCTCCAGCATCCCTACTGCTCCATTACCACCCTGCCAATTTCTTCTGAGCAGTAATGACACTGCCATTGCTCCAGGTCGCTCTGGGTGCTCTTTTACAAATCATGTTTTCCCATCATGCATTGCTGTAAACTGTTGGTCCAAAAACACCATTAAACTTCTTGTCATGTATTGACTCAGCTGTTAGTATGGTGGGTGCTGTAAAGTAACATAGAAATTGATTGTGCTTTTATGCAACAACTCTTATTAAGCTTGGAGCTAAATGGGCTGTGCGTGCATGGTTTGGGGCAGTTCATTTTTATTTTTTTCCTTAGCAGGATTGATAAAACTATTACAAGGAGATGGAAAGAGCTGGTGTGATGAAAGTTGCAGCTCCTTGGGTGAAACACTGTGAATGGGAAACCAAATCCAAGGCTCATATTGTGGGGAATGTTTAATGTAAATCATAACTATTAAAATACAGGGTACATCCCAAGCCTCTTCTATACATCCACATTTCCCTCACTTGTGTCTTTTCCTTGCATCTTAATCCTGGACAGGTAAGATGCAAGGAAAAAAAAATGTAAGGAAATATGAGTTGCAGAAACATACTGGGTACATCCCAAGCCTCTTTTACGATTGTTCCTGGCTCCTCGATTGCTCCTCAGAGCAGATGTGTCTTGGGACATCCAGTGTCATACAAGAGCTTATGAAAATCTGATTATAAATATCCAGATCTGAAGGAGGGATCATTAAACTGCAAAGGAGGATGAGCTGACGAACTCTTGTCTGCACTTAGCATATGTCTCTCCAGTTATCAGGGATTATCAGTTCTTGGGCCCTTGATAAAGTCTCCAGGTCTTTTCTTGGAGAGTGTGGAGGGAGTTTCAGGCAGTTCTTGGTCAGGTAAAGTGTTCTGACTCTGAAAGAAGAAAGACATTTAAAATAAATAAACCGGGGATCCAATGCAGAGGCCATGAACACACACACACACACACACACGAGTGTTTGTCTCTCATGTACCATTTTGCCAGGCCCTCTGTCACTGCATTTTTGATGTCTTGGGTAACTGTAGAGTCTGTTCCTTGGGCCTGAGTGCTGTGGATCAGCTGGTGAAGCAGTGAAGTGATGGACACCGTGTCTTGTCTTCTGACAATATATTTCTCACTACTTTGAAGGGTTTCAGGACTTTAGCAATGTCTTCAATGCAAGCAATGTTGGCTTCAGTCAGTGTCCACAGCTCTTTGGCACTTTTACTCACATTAGTGGAGAATAGAGTGGCACATATTTCAGACTGCAGCTCCAGAAAATGCTCCAGTATGTCATATATGCTATTCCACCTCATAGCAATGTCAGACATCACTTTGTGTTCTGGCAGACTCGGCAGCCTGTTTTTCTTTTAGTGCAGAAAGAAATAACAGACCAAATTCCTCCCAGCAGACAAGCCACAGTGGGCATCAGATTCAAACTATGTGCAAAGCATTTCACATGCACTAAGTTTGCAAGTTGAGAAGCTATCGTCATGTTAGAGGCATTACAGTGCCTTGCGAAAGTATTCGGCCCCCTTGAACTTTGCGACCTTTTGCCACATTTCAGGCTTCAAACATAAAGATATAAAACTGTAATTTTTTGTGAAGAATCAACAACAAGTGGGACACAATCATGAAGTGGAACGAAATTTATTGGATATGTCAAACTTTTTTAACAAATAAAAAAACTGAAAAATTGGGCGTGCAAAATTATTCAGCCCCCTTAAGTTAATACTTTGTAGCGCCACCTTTTGCTGCGATTACAGCTGTAAGTCGCTTGGGGTATGTCTCTATCAGTTTTGCACATCGAGAGACTGAAATTTTTGCCCATGCCTCCTTGCAAAACAGCTCGAGCTCAGTGAGATTGGATGGAGAGCGTTTGTGAACAGCAGTTTTCAGTTCTTTCCACAAATTCTCGATTGGATTCAGGTCTGGACTTTGACATAGCCATTCTAACACCTGGATATGTTTAGTTTTGAACCATTCCATTGTAGATTTTGCTTTATGTTTTGGATCAGTGTCTTGTTGGAAGACAAATCTCCGTCCCAGTCTCAGGTCTTTTGCAGACTCCATCAGGTTTCCTTCCAGAATGGTCCTGTATTTGGCTCCATCCATCTTCCCATCAATTTTAACCATCTTCCCGGTCCCTGCTGAAGAAAAGCAGGCCCAAACCATGATGCTGCCACCACCATGTTTGACAGTGGGGATGGTGTGTTCAGGGTGATGAGCTGTGTTGCTTTTACGCCAAACATAACGTTTTGCATTGTTGCCAAAAAGTTCGATTTTGGTTTCATCTGACCAGAGCACCTTCTTCCACATGTTTGGTGTGTCTCCCAGGTGGCTTGTGGCAAACTTTAAACGACACTTTTTATGGATATCTTTAAGAAATGGCTTTCTTCTTGCCACTCTTCCATAAAGGCCAGATTTGTGCAGTATACGACTGATTGTTGTCCTATGGACAGAGTCTCCCACCTCAGCTGTAGATCTCTGCAGTTCATCCAGAGTGATCATGGGCCTCTTGGCTGCATCTCTGATCAGTCTTCTCCTTGTATGAGCTGAAAGTTTAGAGGGACGGCCAGGTCTTGGTAGATTTGCAGTGGTCTGATACTCCTTCCATTTCAATATTATCGCTTGCACAGTGCTCCTTGGGATGTTTAAAGCTTGGGAAATCTTTTTGTATCCAAATCCGGCTTTAAACTTCTCCACAACAGTATCTCGGACCTGCCTGGTGTGTTCCTTGTTCTTCATGATGCTCTCTGCGCTTTAAACAGACCTCTGAGACTATCACAGTGCAGGTGCATTTATACGGAGACTTGATTACACACAGGTGGATTCTATTTATCATCATTAGTCATTTAGGTCAACATTGGATCATTCAGAGATCCTCACTGAACTTCTGGAGAGAGTTTGCTGCACTGAAAGTAAAGGGGCTGAATAATTTTGCACGCCCAATTATTCAGTTTTTTATTTGTTAAAAAAGTTTGAAATATCCAATAAATTTCATTCCACTTCATGATTGTGTCCCACTTGTTGTTGATTCTTCACAAAAAATTACAGTTTTATATCTTTATGTTTGAAGCCTGAAATGTGGCAAAAGGTCGCAAAGTTCAAGGGGGCCGAATACTTTCGCAAGGCACTGTAAAAATTACTGCAGGTAGTGCAATGTAGGCCTAACTTCACAAAGGTTTATTCAGCTACTGTACAATGCTGACAAAATACTAAAGTACAGCTAAAGCTTATATATGTAAGGCTCCTGACAAAGGATCTCCCAGTTCTCCCAGGTCATTTTTCACAGAAACACCTTTTTATATTACAGTCCACACCAACAACACAGTAGTTTTGGAAAATAACTAAGTACATTTACT